ACACCATAAATATATACAATTTTTGTCAATAAAAATATTTTTTGCTGGCAAAGATGCAAAGGGGAATTTTTATGTACTGTTGGTGAGAATGTAAATTAGTACAGTTATTGTGAAACAGTATGAAGCTTCTTCAAACAACCAGAAACAACTGCCATGTGATCCAACAATCCCATTACTGAGTGCATATCTGTATATGAAAAAAGAAACATCTGCACTCACATGTCTACTGCAGCACTATTCACAACAGTCAAGCTATGGAATCAAACTAGGCGTTCATCAGAGGATAAAGATTATATATATATAAGCAAAAAAATTCTGTCACTTGCAGCAAAATGGATGGAATTAGAGGCACAGAAAGACAAATGTGGCATGTTCTCTTTTATATGTGAAAGCTAAAAAGTTGATTTCACAGAAGTTCAGAGAAGGAAAAGGGACAGGACAATGATACAAAGGTACAGCTGAGTCAGAGAAATACCTTGAAATATTCCATAGCACAGTAGGATAACTATGGCTGGCAATACTTGTATATTTCAAAATAGCCATCAGAGAGGATTTTGAATTTCCCCAACACAAAGCAGTGATAAATGTCTAAAGTGATAGCTATGCCTATTATCCTTATCTGATCATTATACATTGCATACATGTATCAAATCATCACTGTCTTGTCTTCCACAACTATGTACAATCACTGAGTCAACTAAATATAAAAGCAAAAATAAATTTTAAATTAAATAAATTACTTTAAATAACAGTGAGTTCAAGACCAGTCTAAAACATACCGCAAGACCCTGTCTCAAAAGAACCAAAAAACAAAAAAATTTAAACTACAAAAAGAAAATTCATACTAAAAAGAATAAAGGGAAAAAGGTATATTTTTTGGTACTAGGGATTGAACTTAGGGCATTTCACATGCTAAGTACTAGCTTTTACACTGATGTATACCCGCAGTCCTAGGAAGCATTTATAGAACAATATATCCCAAAAGTTGGCATTTGATTCCTTTACTCCTATTCACTCAATCTCTAAGTCCTCTGAGTCTTTCCTACAATCCCTGATATATGTCCCTTTATTCTATTATCAATTCAAAACTCCCAATTCAGGCAGCTGTTATTTCACATTGGGCTACAACAGCCTCTATTAGGTTCTACTCATAACTTTCTCTCTTCCTGAAATTCCTTTGGTTCGTGGCTCCTAGAACAATTTTCTTAAAACACTATTTTGAGCATATCTGTTCAAAACCTCTGAGGGCTCTCCATTACCTTCTCCATCAAGTTCAAATACAAGCTCAGATGTCTCTGCACAGCCCTACCTATCTCCTTACCTTTATCTTACTAGTCTTCCAAATCCTTTCTCAAACTGACCTATTTAATTCATTCAGATATGCCTCGTATTTTTCTGTCTCTAAATTGTGGTGCATACAGTTTCTCTCTACCTGGGATACTCTCTTCTTTTCAGTTTCTATCTTGACCTATTGAAATTTAACTCATGCTTCAAGAACTAGAGATCCACCTACTATAAGATGTGATTGAAAAAATACAGTGAATGTTTACATTTTTAAAATTTTATTACAGCAAAAGACACTTGGCCATTAATCCCCTTCAAAGTACTTCCCCCACTGTTTTTGCCACTTTCTGAAGCAGTTCTGGAAGTTCTCCTTTACGTCTTTAGTTGTGCTGTTGTAGCTACCCTGATATCCTGAATAGATCCCAAGCATTTACCTTTCATGGTCATTTTAGGGAAGAGCCTGAAGTCACATGGTGCCAGATCTGGTGAGTAGGGTGGAAGAAGATGCACCATCATGTTTTTATGAACCTGCCTTTCTGTTGGATGGCATCTAGCAGCAGTATTTGTATTTTTGATCACACTTTATAAAAACACTCATAAGAGAGGACTTCTAGAAGTCGTTCAGAAAGTGGTAAGAATGAGGGGGTGACTGTGTTTGAAGCATGGGTGAATATTTTGAGAAGGATTGATGTGAAAATGTGTCTTTTACTGTAATAGTCTTTTTAAACTTAAACATTCACTATATATTTTGATCATACCTTGGATACTTGATCATCAAGGAAATAAAGATGGCAGGTTCTAAAGTCAGGCAAGCTGGGTTTGAATTACAACTTCAGTCACTTACTGGCTGAATGACACAGGGCATGTTTCTTAATATCTCCTTGCCTCAGTTTCTTAATATATGCTTGGGATAAGAGCGACTCCCTTTGGGCATATTATGAGGAGTAAATGAGTTAATCCATTTATGTAAAGCACTTTACATGATGCCTGGACCCAAGAGATGCTAGATATTATTATTACTCTTATCACCACTGCCATTAGTGAATTTATCTTAAATTGAATTCAGACAATTCTTATAACCATTATGAACTTATTCCTCACATACATATAGTATCATTCCTCTTGCTCTCCTTTTCTGCCCTCCCACCTCATGCTTGTTTTTCCTCTGTTGCTCCTGGCACCCAGGTTATGTGGTCCTGATGGACATGTAAATGTCTTATACATCTTAATATTTAGTGCCTAATGAAGGACTACTGAAGAACTAACAGTATTAAAATGTTCCAATCCTATAGTGAAAACAGAATATATAAAGTGATTAATGGAAAAAATTAAATTTCCAGCCTCACAAAATTAAATTTCTCTTTTATGATTCTCCAGATTCCTTTTACACTCTCTCTTTTAAAACAACCCAACCTATTCATTCAGCAAGAGATACAACAGCAAAATATGTGCAAGTCAGACAGCAGCCAAACACTTGAAGCACAAGGACCATGAGATAACTCAGCTGCAATCAGCTCTGGCTGAAGTCAAATTTAAAAGGAAACATAACCAGCTTATCAGTCACACTAACAATGCTAATTGTTACACACACCAGTGCCAGGATTTCTTTGTACCCAAGGCCAAGTATTAACAACTGAAATGACCAGGCTAGTAGATATGAAAATATCAGTGATTTAACTTAACAACCAAATTTACCACATGATCAATTTAATTACCTATGTCAAAAATGACTATTAATACATCTCAAGACTTTAAAGTAACCCAAATTTTGGCCAATGAAGCCAAATCAAGTAGATAGGGCTTTACTGTATATAACTGATAACAACCTAATAAATGTACTATTCTAGCATAAATTGCTTCCAACAATGCCCAAGGAAAATAATGTTACTATAATAGTGGTTTCTAGTCTGTATGCATGTACTAACCCTCAATTGCTTTCTCAGCCAAAAATCTGGCCTCCTAACCACAAACTATAGAGTTCACTTGTGGAGTGAATTAAGATGGTCTGATGGTATGTTAATGACTTTCCAAAATCTACCCTTAAGTACTACAGATAAAAATAAAATATATTAAATTTCTATTCCTACAGTACCTGTCTTTAGAGGACCCTACAATGTTTTACTAGCTTTGAAGTACAATAATTCTGAAGTCACAAAATCTTAAAGACGGAGCCTTAAAGTCCTCTACTGCAAGAATTCTTTAATCCACCTACCAGGCAAAAGGTCCTCCAGCCTTTGCTTGAACACTTGTACTTCCAGCAATGAGTACTCAATATAATACAAGGCAGTATACTCCACTGTTACAAAATTCTTCCTTTCAATCACTGGAAACCTGCCTCTCTGAACTTCTATCCAAGAACCCTAGTTCTTGTCTACTCTCTGGAGCACCACAATATAAGTTAACCTTTGAAATATAATCACTTCTTGAATTAAGATAAAATTGTCAATTTGGTCACACAAAATGTAAAACTCAGAAAAGAAGAAACACAGCTAGACACAAAAAATTTGAAATTCAAGAAGCTATTTAAAGTCACAGGCCAACATTTTTTGAAGATATCAAACCACAGGTCCCAGCTAACAAATAAATACTGAGCAATCCGATTTTTTAATAGAATGGAAGGCAGTATAGTGTTTATCGAATACCTCTGCAACTTGATACTACTAAATTCACCAACACTATTTTTAAAATTACAATTCTGTAGGAAATTCAATATAGTTTTCCCAACTGCTCATCATTTCATTCAGTCTGTTTCTCTCTAAAACATCTGGACGTTTGGGGTTTTTAAGTCCATTTTGCTTCATTGGTGCAATATTTTATTTTTAAATAAATATTTTCAAAAATGAAACCTAAGAGAATAGTTGTAAAGGAATGGGGGTGAGGCAAAGAGCGAAGGCAGTCAGGCCCAGCAGTAAAGGGCTAGTTATAGTGTATTTTCTGCCTGGAAGCACGCTTTATTAGCATAGGCATCTTTAGTAATAAGCCATTCAAACACGACCCAAGAACAAGAACGATTATGAGCAATGAATGTAAGTCATAAATGTCCATAAGATGGAAATGAATTGGTAGTGGTCACTGAAAGGCACCAGATGTTTCCGCACCTCGTTGAAGAAAGGTATGAAATCCAAGAAGAGGTGACCCAACTGTCGCCCTTTGGAGAGGGGAAGAAACCCAGAAATAACTACCTTTCAGCAGTTCAGGGAATCTTGAACAGTACAGAGCACAAGAAAGACGGCAAGTGACTAGGGGGGCAGGCACACACCCAGGCGAGTCTTAAGAAGAGGTAATAAGCATTGTGCAAATACTGAATGGGTCCCTGAAATGGCTTGAGTAAAAGGATGTGGGAATGGGTAAGGGGCAACGCTGGAGACCCTCGGTCCCCTCCCTGCAGCAGAGCAACAGAGGGTAAAAGAAGAGGGAGGGTGAAAAGCAAGAATGACTCATTCCCGAAAGGAAATGCTCAAGCATTGGAAGGCATGCCACCGGGGGTTTCAGGGCGAGTACTGTGAGAAGCTGAGTGCTCAGGGTGATGGGGGCATAAACCAACATCTTGCAGTTCCTGCTGCTCATCTGTAAGAAGAGGGTGTGGGGGGTTCGCGGCAGCAGAGTGCCAAGGCCTGGGAAGCGGCGCGTGCGCAGTGGCGTTCGGCGGGACCCACTGAGGCAAAGCGGAGCCGCAGTGACAGAAGCGAGCAAAGCGGCCGCCCGGAGGGACTCACCGAGGCGCAGGGGCTGGAGGTGGTGCTGGGGGTAGGCGACCGCTGGACCGTGACCAAAGCCATCTAGGCGCTGCTAGGTTGTTCCGGGCAGGGCATTCTCGTCTCGAGTGTGGGGGGCGGGAGGGTGACGGAGCTGGGAAGAAGGTAAAGGGTGTGGGGTAGGGTGAGGGGAACGGGGAGGAAGAAGAGGCCGCAGGAACGATCTCAAGATCCGCACCCACCACTGGACTCTCCGCCGACTGACTCGCCGAACGGGCGGCGGGCGGGCGGCTAGGCAGCTGCGGGGCACAATGAGCGATCCCAGTGCGCAGGCGCCACCTGTCAGCAACCGCCTCTCCCCTCCGCGCGCGCCGCCGCTTCGTTTTAACCCGTGGATTGCCGGAAGCTGGTAGCGTGCGTGCGCCTCGGGCCGCCGCCCCCGTTCCGGGTTTCCTTCCTTGCGCTGAGTCCGCTCGGAGTGTTGGAGGTGGGGGTAGGTTTGCGAGGGAAGGCGAAGGGGCCGAGAGCCGCCAGCCTAGTAAGGACCCCTGGCTGGGGGGCCGCTAGAGTCCTCACTTCTGAGCTACAACCATTTTATGAGGTGGGGTATACAGCCTGGACAACCTCAGAGAAAAGAAATTGAGGTGGAAACCAGAGGTAAGAATGTTTTCTGGTGGGCAAGCGTTCTGCTGGGTTTCAAACGCTTTCACTAAGCGTGAATGAGACTGAACTAGACCAGGAGTCAAGTTTCCCCCCTTTAACCTAGTTCTCAGTAGTGGGGGATGTTTTTGGAGATTTCCCACCCTTCTGTTCATGTTTTGTGATAAATCTTTTTGAAATATTTTCTCTCACAAACCCTCGAAAGCTTCATAGGACCCACATGCTTCCTCTATTACCTACCCAAAGTCATTCATCGCTCCTGAGGTAGAGAGGCTGTGAGTAGAGCTTGAGAAATCTAGGCTTCCGAGTTGTAAAGGTCCTACTTGCTAGCTATTTACCTCCCATTTGCTTCCTGCTGTGAAGAAATTATACTAATTAAATTTGATCTTTGAGCTCTCTTCATCTCTAGAATACATTGTTTCAAAGACAACTGAAAAATCTAGATTTAAAATATTTTAAAGGAGTAATTTTCTAAAAGATAAACCATCCACAATACAAAAGTCAAGAATGTAATGGAAGATTAGGATTAAAAAAAAAAAACCACAAAAAAACCTCATAATGCAAACACCACTTGGTATTTACACAGAGAAAGAACTGACCAAGTTCTTTCTTTGAAGGAGCTGGTAAATACCACCAGATGTATCAAAGCTGTAGAAACACAGATGAGTTACGGTTACTAAAGCCCTCCTTCTGTTTGTCACTCACTCCTGGATTTTATTGCTTCTTTTAAACTGACAGCGCTGCCATGAGCTGTTTCTGGTTGCTGTACGGTTAAGTGCCACAAGAGCTCTCCATGCTGAGCTTTTGTTCCCTCCCTGGGGCCCTGTGGTTGAAATAATTAGCAAGGAGGTTCCATCAAGAATCAGACAAGACATTGAGGGTCCCTGTACTGTACAGTCCTATACAGAGTATATTGAGAAGAAGCCATCTGGTAGGCTTTTGCCCCCTGGTGGTGATCAAAAGTGCCTGCGATAAAAATTAAACAAGATACTTCTATGGTTCACGGATTAAACAATCTGACAGTGTTTTTCCCAGAGCTCCGTAGTAAACAGGAAGAGAAGGCAAAGTTCAGAAGTGAGAACTTTGAACCAGTGCTTAAGAGACCAAACAGGAAGTTACATACAGAGCCATTAAATACCGTGTCCATAGCTGAAAGCTGAATGATCTCAAATAAATGAAGAATGGAGTTTATATGGGCTGGGGATTTAGCTCAGTGGTTCTGCCGCCTGCCTGGCAAGCACAAAATCCTGAGTTTGATCCCTGGTACCAAAAAAAAAAAAAAAAAAAAAAAGGTTTATAAACCAACATATCATTCTAGAAAAGTATTATTCAAATCAGTAAGTCTTAGTAATACATGTTGACTCTCTCACTGACGTAGGAATGGCAAGATCAATCGGTCTTATGTGTAGTAACAAACTATTAAGAAATTCATCTGGGGCTGGGGGTATAGCTCAGGTTTGCCCAGCATATATGAAGCTCTGGGCTCAATCTCCAGCACCACAGAAAAAAAAAAAAGGGGTGGGGGGGAAATCCATCTAGAAAAGGAGAAGCTTAATTCATTAATTTTACAGAGTGAAAGTATACTACCATACAAATCAGAACTGGTTTCTAGTTTTTGTTTTGTAAAAACCTTATGCAAATGACTTGAACTTTTTTTTTCTTTTTTGACACAGGGGTCTTGCTTTATTGTTCAAGCTGGATCTGAATTCACTATGTAGCCAAAGCTGGCCTTGAACTTGCAATCCTCTTGCTTCAGCCTCCCAAGTGCTGGGATTATGGGGGTGCACCACCACGCCCAGTTTATGACTTGAACTTTTTGAGCTTTACTTTATCTCTACAACAGAATCCTAATTTACAGGATTCTTGTGCTCAAATGTGATACTATATGATAATATATAAACTGAAAAGCTCTGTATGCAGTTCAGATTACTTTTTATTCTTTATAGTTTGTTCCAAGTTAGTCTACTTTTTATATGCAGAAAATAATTTAAGCAAAAGAGGAATAAAAGCAGGTACAGGGATTTAGCTCAGTGGTTCTGCCGCCTGCCTCTCAAGTGCAAGGACTGGAGTTTGATCCCTGGTACACACACACACACACACACACACACACACACACACACACAGGAATAAAAACAAAAAGACATGATTCAAGCCTGTTCTTGACAGTGGGTGTAGATTAGTGATCAGGACATGTCTCATCTGTAGTTAAATCTAAAACATTTTCAGCATATCTACAGTCAAAATTGATTATAAGTTATCCAAATCCACATTAAATTTGCAGCAGGAATATTT